CACAGAATTGGGCTACTTTTAAACTGTTGCCATGGGTTGATTTTCCCAAGTGGGTTAAAGGTTTGAAATATTGCATAAATTACATTTGACTGAAATGCTTGTATTGAAACATTTTGCATTCTACCTATGATAAAACTTTCATGGTTTTATACATTAACTGTTCCCTCCTGGTGGAATGACCTGCCCAGCTCAATCCAAGCAGCTGAGTCCTTAATATTTTCAAGAAACAGCTGAAAACACATCTCTTTCATCTTCATTTGACCCTCTAGCTCTAGCACTCTCTATTCTAATGCTACTTCTAATTTTATCTGCTTGTTTTTTTTAATTAAAAAAACTTGACCCTCTAACATTTGCACTCTCTATTCTATTTCTATTCTAATGGCCAATCCATCATTTTTTGGGGGAATTTTTTATTTATTTAGTTTTTAATAAGTATTGATTCAGGCACCGTTTAGGCACCGGAACCGTTTTAAAAGTATCGATTTGGCACCGGTATCGAAAAAAACCCAAACGATACCCAACCCTAATGGTGGATCAGGTGGAGCTGGAGACCACCACATTGGTGCAGGTGGGGCTGAAGACCACCACGGTGGCACTGCAGACCACCACGGCAGCGCAGGCAGAGCTCCTGACCACCATGGCTGAGCAGATCCATGGGCCGGGGTAGGCTCTGGAGTGGACTCTGAAGGCTCCTGGACTGGAGCAGGTTCTTGAGCGGATTCTGAGAGCTCCTGGGCTAGATCAGGCTCTGGAGTGGATTCTGAAGGCTCCTGGACTGGAGCAGGTTTTTGAGTGGACTCTGAAGGCTCCTGGGAGGTCAGAGCAAACTCTGAAGCGGCCCATGCCCACAAAACATCCCTGAGGTGAAAGGCGAAGACAGCCTTCTTGACGATGGCAGCAGCAGTGAAATCGGGTGGCTCTGTAGCGGCCTCCACGGCTGAGACAAGGAGAGCGGGCTGCTCAACGACGGCCTTCGTGGCAGAAGCAGTGAGAGTGGGCTGCTCTGTGATGGCCTTCGTGGCAGCGGCAAGGAGCTTGGGCGGCGCTGGGATGGCCTCCAGGCCATGTGGGGCAGAGGGAGCCTTCCTCTTCCACCTCCTTCGCTTACGACAGCAAGGTGCTGCAGTATCATCGGCCACCTCTGGGGGCTCTGCAGCCTCCTCGGCTGCCACTTGGGGTGCTGCATCCTCCTCGGCTGGAGGGTTCCCCTGACGAGCTAGATAGTTGACGAACCCCACAAACGTCAGGTGATCCAGCCCTCTCATCCTCCACCAATTGAGGAGCTCATCAAGGGCATAATTCAGAAGGTCCTTGAGAGCCACATCGTTGTAGTCCAGCCCCTCTACAGCACTCCTGAACTTCATCGCAAATTCCCTCAAGTCAGTCCCCCGCTGACGGAGGAAACTTAATGATGCTACTTGGAGCATGTGCTAATAGAGGGGGTTGCTGGTAGCTGGATTGAGCCCTTCATCTGCTGAGTCCTCATCTTGGCTTGTTCGTTCTGTCAGGCAACTGGAGAGAGATTAATCAAGGACTCAAATGCAGGATGAAATGGGCATTTATTAATGAAAAAACAAACAAACAAACAAAACAAACAAAAATCACCCCGAGGGGGAAAAACAGGCAGGCAGGCCAGGACAGGGCACAGCAGAGCAAGGCAAGGCAAGGCAAGATAAACACACCATACACAACAAATCCTAACCGGCATAAAACAACGAACAAGCACAGGACTGCAGACACAAAGAGAATAAATAGGGAGACAAACGAGGAGGGTAAAGAGCGAGACACAGGTGGAGTAACTAAAACAATAATGAGATAACAAGAAGGGCGGGGTCAGACAAAAGACAGGAGAGCACATGGCACCAACAACAAACAACAAGCCATGTGCTCAGCAAAACACACAGTGACATATGGTGGCCAACTAGGGCACACCAGCAGAACCGTGACATTCAGAATATCATTAAACAGGACATTCCTTGAATCATAAATAAACAGGAGAATTTTTTTTTAAAGAAAATACTTTTCATAAAAAAAAAAAACTTGTTTTTATCAAAACAATATAATATAAACAGATTGAACTGTATTCCCTTATAATCAAATTGACCTCTGTACACTGTTGACCCTTTAACCAACCCTTAAACCTACCCATGCCACCAAACCTGTCCCTAACCTTACCCGTTTCACACCTCAATAGCAGCAAAAGTGTTTGCATTAACACAAGCTTTTAATCATTTTATAACATTTGTAAAAATCATTTCTAGATTTTCAAAAAGTGCTTGATCATATGGAATTGAAAGTTTAATGATATTTGTAAGCATTTTAACTTATATGAAATAATTTGTTTGTTTAATAAGTTTATTAGCAAACATCAACAATCACATTATCACGTTTCTAACTCTTTGAATATATATTAACTAATGATCCATAAAGCATTATATAATGTCTGTTCATGATTTATTAATGAAAGTTATTATAAAGTGTTATCCATTTTTTGACTCTCAAGTAACGGTAGCCTCTGACTTGCATTTTATAAATCATCAAGGACCACGGTTTCAGCTAAACATCTTCCTTACTGTCCTACTGAAGTAAAAAGTCACCTACATCTTGAATGGTCTGAGGGTGAGTTAATTAAACAGCAAATTGTATTTTTTTGGGTGAACTACAGAAAAAAAAGACATAAATTTCATGTGCAAAAACATGTGGCCACATGTACATGTGAAATGTCATGTGTGAAATATTTTGAACACATGTGAAACGCGTGTTTTGCACATGGGAAACATATGCATTTTCATGTGAATCCCATATATTCCCGTGTGATCACATGTGAAACACATGTATCATAAACCTGCTTGTGTTGCAATCCTGTGTTTGTTAGTAGACTTGCATGGTTTAAAAACTCTGCATCTGGTCAATATTTCACTCATACACAATATACACTCAAAAAATATTTAATCCTGTTTAAGATCTCAATTGTACAGTAAAATTCCATTAAGGTGAATTGAGCAATCCTTATACACCAGGGTTCCTCAAATCTTGCCCTGGAGGTCCAATGCGCTGCAGAGTTTAGCTCCAACCCTGACCAAACTCACCTGCCTGTGATTTTCTAATGATCCTGAAGACATTTATTAACATGCTCAGGTGTGTTTGATTAGGGTTCGAGCGAAACTCTGCAGGAAAGTGTATCTCGTGGGCCAGATTTGAGGATCCCTGTTATACACTATTCATATTATGAAGAATTAAAAATTAATAACTACAGCCTAATAAAGCATTTTTTATAGAAATCTTAATAACTGGGAATGCACCATTTCAGATTTGTTCATAAATAAAAAAAATAATAAAATGTGACTCAATGTTTTCAATCACCGTTCCCATGGCATGAAGTTGATAGAACTTGAAGTTGATAGAAGTACATAGAGAGGCACCATTAAGTACAATTAACTCAATATTTATTAGTCTCTTCTGTAATTTTGTTGTATTTGGGGGAAGTTGTGGCCTAATGGTTAGAGAGTCGGACTCGTAACCCAAAGGTTGTGGGTTCGAGTCTCGTAACGGCAGGGATTGTAGGTGGGGGGAGTGAATGTACAGCGCTCTCTCCCACCTTCAATACCACGACTGAGGTGCCCTTGAGCAAGGCACTCAGCCCCCAACTGCTCCCCGGGTGCCGCAGCATAAAATGGCTGCCCACTGCTCCGGGTGTGTGTTCACGGTGTGTGTGCATGGGTTAAATGCAGAGCACTAATTCCTAGTATGAGCACTAATTCCCACATGTCACGTCACTCGTCACTCACTCATTTAGACCTATCAACTTCAGTCATATTTCATATTCAGATGACATGATATTTTTACAGGTTGGTAATGAACTGGATTTGTGTCATTGTCAATGATGACTGTAAGGAGTGCCACGGTAACATCTCCAAACTCATCAGACTTGTTCTAAATTAATGAATGAAAGAGACATAAAATCACAAAAAAATCCATGGTGTCCAAAATAGTAGTGTTCAATTTAATTATTTTTTAAACCCATCAATGATTTTTTTTTTTCAATTTAAAATTATTTTTGACAAATAATCTTACACAGACTGATGCTAAGCTAACATAGTTCACCCAAAAATGAACATTCAGTCATTATTTACTCTAATGCCATATGGCCTTTCTTGTTGAGACCACAAAATGAGAAATTAAAAAAATGGTGAAAAACAAAACAAATTTTTATTTGTTATTTGGCAAAAATTCTGTTGGTCTGTTGTGAAGGACTGCATTTATGAGAATATATTTGCTCATTTCACTCCGGCTCACCCAGGAAAGATCAAGATTTTAGAAGATTCAAGATTGAAAACACTACACAAAACATGACTCTCATAAAGCTCAAAAGCAGTGGTGTAATGTAATAATAATACTTCGTTACAGTACTTAAGTGTTTTTTGGGAGAATCTGTACTTTACTTGAGTTTTTATATTTCAGCCAACTTTTACTTTTACTCCACTACATTTCCTAATTAAAATGTATACTTTTACTTCTATACATTTCCCCGAAGCATATTCGTTACTTACAACAAAATAGTCAGAAGTCAGAAGAACACGGACTGCAGGAAAGCAGGTTTGACGAATCAGTGATCTGGCATTTGCAAGTTAGACTCATGTGCAAACAGTGCGCACACAACCGCGGATGATTCATTTTCCACTCAAATCGAGTCTGGGGTGTGCGATACAGCATCGTCTGCGATAATATGGTAAGTGTTGTTGTAATGATGTGCGATCGCCGATCGGACATGATAGTGTAGGCTATATCACCAAATCACACACAGACTGCATGCACGTTGATTTATTAATCTATTAATACTCAAAATTCCAGGCATTCTAAATTGTAGACGGCAAAAATGCTTCTGTATGCTTTTTATATTTATATAATTTAATATAGTTAAATTAATCTATATCACACAAAGAGTACCGTTTTTCTGCATATATTAGCATGAGCACATTTAATAATTAGTTTATACAAGTTCAGTAAAGCAATAAGTGACTTACATTTTAGACATAATATTGCTTGTTTTTTGCTCAATTAGCCTAACGAAAATAGTTCCAAACAAAGATCACAGCACTGTTTTGCGTCTCTGAGCAACGGACGGTGTTTACTGTTTACCTATTGAATGAATCATCTTTTTGACCGAATCGGTTGAATAAATTATTCAGTGATTCACTAATTAACACAGTCAAATGCTTTGTTTCTGAATGAGTCAGTTGTTTTAATGAATCGGTTGAATCTCAATGACTCACTCATTAACAGTCACTTGTTGCCACCTACTGGCGGTTTTAATTTCACGTTTCGACAGTTTTTTTCATGTTTTAAATTATTTCAAATATCAGTATTCAACATTTTATGTTAAAAACAAGTCATTTGGCCTATTTATGCATCCTTAACTGCAGTTTGAATGCATCCATGTCCCCTCTGAGATACATAAACTGTGTAAATACATCTAAATGCTATTTTAGATGCAGATTCCAGAAATTTTTCTTTTGTTGGAATGAAAGACACTAAGTACCGTATTACTCATGTATTGTCTTCTATGAGGTGAAGACCTCCCGACCAGAACAATGCAATAATTTGCTTTGTTGTTCTGACAGAAAACAGAAAATGTCGAAAACGCTGATGAACTGACTGAACAAAAGTATGAGAAAAAAACACTTTTGCATTTTGATGAAATACATACAGTAGAGTGGTACTGTAAGTGGTACTGGCATTGCCTCCTCTCATGTGACTTTCCCCCATTCATTCTCAATTACCCCCCACCAAACTCACCTCATGCTTTATGGGGTCTGTTAAAACTCAATGGGCTCAGGGGAGGCGAGAGAGGTGCATACTCACTGCACGCTTTAGGGTCTCTGTTAAGCCTCAGTGGGCTCAGGGGAGACAAGAGAGATGCAGACTCCTGCTGTAACTTTACCTGCTGATGTCACTGTTGGACAATGTTTCTTTAGAAAAATGAGTGAGTTAACGTTATATTTTGTAATATTTGAATAGTTTTATTTTTGTACTACAATTGTTTTTTTCTCATCCAATATTTTGTGGAACTCAGAGGAAAAAACCCTGAAATATATATATATGTCTTATATCTTTGAGTTCAGCTCATTAAAAATGGGGTAAAAACAAAAGTGTTGCGTTTATAATTTTATTATGTGTATATATATATATATATATATATATATATGTGTGCATGTGTGTGCATGTGTGTATGTATTAGTTATTATGCTACCTAACTGATCAACAGTTATAAGTACAAGCTAATAACAAGGTGTATCATCATAAGTGAACACTTATTACTGAACATTGTTTATTACTGAATCATGAGGAGTATGTACCACTAAAGTATAATTGATAAATTCTATATTCATAACTTGAGAAACAATACTTTGGTAATACTTTGTTTCGATAGTCCACGTTAGATATTTTACTAACTACAAGTAACTTTGCAACTACAGAATATGCCAACTAATTAACAGAGAAAGCTACAAGGGACTACAACCACAGGACGGGAAACAAGAAATGGGAACAAACTAAAAGACAACATAACACCAGGGTACAGTGAAGCTGAAAATGCACAGAATTTGTTTAATGTGTGATCCACATGTTGGTAACATTATTCCCACATGTGCCACATGTGCTCTATTATGTTGCAACATGTGGTGACATTGTCTACATGTGATCACATGTGGAAAACATGTGAAATTCAGGTGGTTTTCAGGGAGACCTGCCATAGGTTGCTTACTTTTGACTTAAAGTGTCATTACTTAATTCTACCTTCAAATGAATTAATGGTACTAAAAACATGCAAAGATTTTCCCAGGCTCTCCAATACCCTTCAAGTTAAACGATTTCTTCAGATGTTACTCTTGAGCTGTCATCTGAATGTATGAAATAAAGATTTATATCTACATTTTTTCTTTCTGTGGGAATGATGACATCCTAGCATTCCTGTCAGTTTTTCAAAGGGCATCTTTTCATTGCACTGGATCTCTGCACTAGATTTCTTTGACCTATCTGTGAAAGACCCCATTATATATCATGTTATATATATATATATATATAAAACATGAAGTGAATTCTTCCTGTACTGCAAGGGGAGATCTGAAGAAAATCGGGGCTCTTGCATTATACTCCATTATGCAACATTGTCATGAACAGAAATAGCTGTCAGCACCCTAAGGAGGTATGTCAGTTCATTTCTGTACTACGCCACTAGTAATTCATGTGCCTTCAGCTTTAAATACTGTACATGGTGTGCAGCGGTGCAGCATGAGTGGTTCTGACTGAGGAATAATTAGCAGACATGTCTGGAGAGCATGTTCTGCTCTGCCACTGTGCTTCTCAAAAGTAGCTTTAAAAGGCCATAATCTGTGCTTTCCCTGAAGTCCACTTATAATGTTTGCTAAGGTTTTCTGCACTAAATGTAGTTTAACATTACCATTTTCCACCCTCTCTCCAACCTCACATTTGTTGCTGAACCTTGAAGAATATTGCATGTACATGATTTTTACACTGTAAAACTAATTATTTTTTTTGAAGTTGTAAATAGTTGTATCTCATGTTTAATTTAATGTGTTACTTGCCATTTCAACTACAGTGTCCTTGTATTGACATAGTTCACACCGTTTTTTGTCAGAATGGTACAAATCCCTCAATATGGAGCAGCCAGTGTCATTTAAATATGAGCAGTCATGTACTGATGTTCTCATAGTTGTAATTTCAATAAATTGTTTCAGTGGTTCCAGCAGTACAAATCCAATTAATTTTCTCTGTATGTGAATGGATGTTTAACAATAACAATTAAAAACGTTAAAAATAAGACCTACTGTGAATTGCAAGGTTGTTAATTGTACATGCTTCAGTTGAGGCCAGTCCATATATTGTTTCAAGAGAAAAAAAAATAATAATAATCTTGCACAATTCCAGTTGAGGAACTACTGTACTCCATGATTCTGCAGAGAAGTATCCAAACAGTATACATTCACTGGCCACTTTTTTAGGTACACCTGTTCAACTGCTCCTTAACATAAACATCTAATCAGCCAATCACATGGTAGCATTTAGGCATGTAGACATGGTCAAGATGATCTGCTGAAGTTCAAACCGAGCATCTGAATGGGGAAGAAAGGTGATTTAAGTGACTGTGAACGTGGCATGATTGTTGGTGCCAGACGGGCTGGTCTGAGTATTTCAGAAACTGCTGATCTACTGGGATTTTCACGCACAACCATCTCTAGGGTTTACAGAGAATGGCCCGAAAAAGAGAAAATATCCAGTGAGTGGCAGTTGTGTGGACAAAAATGCCTTGTTGATATCTAATGGGAGTTTTTTATGCATGACCATCTCTAGGGTTTACGGAGAATGGGCCAAAAAAGAGAAAATATTGACTGAGCAGCATTTCTGTTGGCAAAAACGCCTTATTGATGCCAGAGGTCAGACGTGAATGGTCCGACTGGTTCGAACTGAGAGAAAGATAACAGTAACTCAAAAAATGATCACTCATTACAACTGAGGAATGCAGAAGAGCATCTCTGAACGCACAACACTGCGAACCTTGAAGCAGATGGGCTAAGACCATATCGAGTGCCACTTCTATCAGCTAACAACAGGAAACCGAGGATACAATTTGCACAGGCTCACCAAAATGAGATAAAAGTTTGGAAAAAGGTTGTCTGTCTGATTAGTCTCGATTTCTGCTGCAACATTCAGATGGTATAGGGTCAGAATTTAGCATAAACAACATGAAAGCATGGATCTATCCTGCCTTATCAGTAGTTCAGGCCGCTTGTGGGGGATATTTTCTTGGCACACTTTGGGCCTCTTAATATCAATCGAGCATTGTTTAAAATCCATCCCTTTATCACACAGTTTACCCATCTTGTGATGGCTACTTCCAGCAGGATAATGCACCGCAAGATCAAACTGTCGTGAAGCTCAAATGATATCAAATTAGTTTCTTGAACATAACACTGGGTTCACTATACTCAATGGCCTCCACCATTACGAGATCTCAATCCAGTGGATCACCACTGGGATGAGGTGGAACAGGAGATTCACATCATGGATGCACAGCTGACAAATCTGCTATCATGTCAATATGGACCAGAATATTGGAGAAATCATTCCAGGTCCTTGCTGAATCTATGCCATCAGTTCCGAATTAATGCATATGGAAAAACGCTGTTCTATACTGTGAAGATTCCTTTTTTACTCCCATGTGGTCCATAAATTATCTGGATGAAATAAGGAAAAGCAATTTAAAAAGGCCAAGGAAAATCCGCTGTCACTGAATTTTTTTATGTGAGCTCCACAAAACCCTGCTAACATGATACACAGCCCTGTATAGCAGCTATAAAATGTCTTCTTGCCATCTTTCTGTCCTAACAAATCTACCCTTGATCTACCCTTGTTTATGACCATGAAATCTGATGTTTTGCAGATTAGAAGCATCACTCTCACTCTTTTTCTCTGTCGAGTGTCAGACTCTGGGCCAGGTTTTGTGTGTGTCTTTGCTCCCTATGTGCTCCGTCTTCCAGTTTCTCTGTCTCGTGTTTTGAATTCATTGTTCCCAGGTGTTTCCAATGTTAATTGTCATTAGTTCCAGGTGTCCCTTGTCTTCCCCTCATCAGTTCCTGTGTATTTAAAGTGTGTTCTAGTTCTTGTCCTTTGTCAGTCGTTGAACGTCATCCTGATGTGTCGAGTCCTGTGATCCCCAGCCTTTGTTAATAAAACCCTTTTGATTTATTCTACTCCGTGTCTCCTCGCTCCTTCGTTCCCGTGTTCCTCGTGTGTGTGCACCGTGACAGAACGACTGACCATAAACAGTAAGCGGCGCTCCTTCTCCCGTGTTTTATTTCCGTTTTTTGAACAGTCTTTTGTTTTCCTTTTTCTCCCCCAGCCCGCTGACCGGGCCGATGTCAAGCCCGTCAGCCGGGGCTATTTCCAGCCCGCTGGCCTCGCCGAAGACAAGCCTGCCGGACGCTCAGAACCAGTCGCGCCAAGGCAAGTTCGCTGGCCCCGCATATGGCAAGCCTTCCGGACATTAATGTGGCAAGCCCGCCCGGCGGTTCCTATGCCAAGCCCGCCAGCCGGGGCTATCTCCAGCCCGCTGACCAGGCCGATGGGAGGCCTGTCAGCCAGGGCTATCTCCAGCCCGCTGGCCACGCATATGGCAAGCCCACCGGACATTAATGTGGCAAGCCCGCCAGACGGGGCTCCCGATCCCCAGTTCCGCTCAGGAAGGGCTCCCGAACCCCAGTTCTGCCCAGGAAGGGCTCCCGTTCCGCCCAGGAAGGGCTCCCGATCCCCGTTTCCGCACAGGCAGGGCTCCCGATCCCCAGTTAAGCCCAGGGAGGGCTCCCGACCCCCAGTTCCGCCCAGGAAGGGCTCCCAATCCCCAGCTCCGCCCAGGCAGGGCTCCCGATCCCCAGTTAAGCCCAGGGAGGGCTCCCGACCCCCAGTTCCGCCCAGGAAGGGCTCCCAATCCCCAGCTCCGCCCAGGCAGGGCTCCCGATCCCCAGTTAAGCCCAGGGAGGGCTCCCGACCCCCAGTTCCGCCCAGGAAGGGCTCCCAATCCCCAGCTCCGCCCAGGCAGGGCTCCCGATCCCCAGTTAAGCCCAGGGAGGGCTCCCGACCCCCAGTTCCGCCCAGGAAGGGCTCCCAATCCCCAGCTCCGCCCAGGCAGGGCTCCCGATCCCCAGTTAAGCCCAGGGAGGGCTCCCGACCCCCAGTTCCGCCCAGGAAGGGCTCCCAATCCCCAGCTCCGCCCAGGCAGGGCTCCCGATCCCCAGTTAAGCCCAGGGAGGGCTCCCGACCCCCAGTTCCGCCCAGGAAGGGCTCCCAATCCCCAGCTCCGCCCAGGCAGGGCTCCCGATCCCCAGTTAAGCCCAGGGAGGGCTCCCGACCCCCAGTTCCGCCCAGGAAGGGCTCCCAATCCCCAGCTCCGCCCAGGCAGGGCTCCCGATCCCCAGTTAAGCCCAGGGAGGGCTCCCGACCCCCAGTTCCGCCCAGGAAGGGCTCCCAATCCCCAGCTCCGCCCAGGCAGGGCTCCCGATCCCCAGTTAAGCCCAGGGAGGGCTCCCGACCCCCAGTTCCGCCAAGGAAGGACTCCCGATCCCCAGTTCCGCCCAGGCAGGGCTCCCGATCCCCAGTTCCTCGCTCCTTCGTTCCCGTGTTCCTCGTGTGTGTGCACCGTGACATCGAGGTTCCACAGATCCTTGGACCTCCTCTGAGGGGTGTTACGTTGTTCTTTCATGTCTTCTGCTTCATCCCTCCTGGCTTAGCCTGCTAAGAGCTGTTGTTTGCTCGTATGTTCATACTTGCTCCATTTGCACTGTTACAGCAGCTGTAAATGTTCTGAAAGCTCCAGGCTCTCTCAGAGCTGTATATCAAAGCTGTGGAATGAAATGCTACAGAAAGTACACTTCCATGGATCCCCAAGGTTAAAAATCTGGTTACAAAATGTATAAGGACATTTGCCTACTAGCTTGAGGTTTTATATACCTGGTTAGTACCATCAATTTGTTGATGTGATCTCACATTTGTTGTCAGGAGCAATGTAGAAGAACACCTATTTAGCTTTATACAGTTTTCACACAGGAGAAGACTAGTATGCAAATCATTATTTCTTTCTAAAATAACACTGTAATTAACTTTCAGAGGGAGTTTTGCCTCCCTTTTATGAGGTTTTATTTGTGCCAAAAACAAGTAGACTGCTTTCTACTTTACATTTGTTTACAGTCATTAGTACTTGAGATACATTAGTATATGTTGATGTGTATGTTCTTTATGTCGCCTTGTTCTGTTGTTCTCAGTGTCATCATCTGTTGTTTATGGAAGGCTGTTTCCAAAAATTATGGCATTCCTTTTCTGCCAAAAAAGTGTTGATGATCAATACATTATACAAAGCAGTCAACACTCTCTTTTTTTTTGGCACAAACAAATCATCATAACCTTCATGTTGATTTTTACTGAGGACCTATTTTATTGAGGAATGGGTCAGACAGGTGGACAGACTTGTTATAAATTTTAGCAACTCACTCATGGCTGAACATTTGATTTTCACTTGCTAATCTCTACTGAGTATATTATTATAGATATATTATCTATATTATACATCAGTGTTTCTGCAGAGTTTCAAATTAACATGCCAACGTCACATCTCAGCAACTTGTGTATCATTTACAATTCAGAGTTTCCTACTCTTAAATATGACTTCGCATTGTTATTAGTGTGTTCTGAACTCATAATTATTATATTTCTGACTCCAATCAAAAGGCCTATAAATGAACTTGAGATTACTTTAAATGATATTTGAGTGAGCTTTTGAATGAGCTTTTCAGTGGGTGAACATTTTCAGTGTTGTGATATACAGTGGGGTCAAAAAAGTATGCAATTTTTCTCTCTCTCTGTCTCTCTCTTTCTCCCCTCGTTTAACCTGAAAATGAACAAAATTGTAACATTTTAAAGCATTTAAAAAGAAAAAGAAAAACAAATGTTATGATTAGAGGTAATATGATTTA